ATGTGGGACGCGGCCTCAGCATGGCCAGAGAAGCAGCGCGTCGGTGCGAGCCCGGGATCCGAACCCGGGTCGCCAGCAGTGGAGCGCGCTCACTTAACCACCAAGCCACGGGGCCGGCCTGTGATAACCAGTCTTGAATGTTCTTTTCTATTCTCTTTCTTTAGGCAAATTTTCCATGAAGGCTTTCCTAATCAGGCCCTTTTTCCTTTAAACCCTCAGTAGTTAACTGTATAGACCCCTAATCTGACATAAATACGTATAGTCCTAGGGGTGGTCCATCTCTTTCAAAGCTGTTTTGTCCTGTTATTCAACTGATCCTTTGTTCATGTTGTGTCTCTCCAACTTGTAATATTATCTCCCACAGGTCTATCTTTGCACACAGTAACTACTGAATAAATATTTGTTGAACCGAAAGGGAGAAATGAAGAAAATGTGTTCAGAATGTAAAGAGGTAACTTCCAAGCTAATGTATTATATGTATCATTTTACAATAAATCTAAAACACTAAAATCTCACGAGACTAAAATCTTATAAGATCTGTCAAAATTTCCATTGTATATCTTAAGGGATAGCAATTATCAAAAGATAGTGGGAAAGAATAAAGAAGTATGGTTATTTTTGACAAGTAACTATGAACATACCTGATTTTCCTTGGAATAATGAACTGTGGTGTGGTGTGGTGTTGGTATGTAGCAAGTGTGCCACTTATGTCACTTACCTGCTCAGGGCACACAGTGTTCATTCCTGGCATCTGCAAAGAGCTCATTTGCATCTGGCCCATCAGTGGGTTCATGTTCTGAACATTTGTGTTTCCACCTGCCATGGATACGGTGATGCTCATATTGTTGTACACTCCTGGCTGTGCAGGTGTGGGCTGGTTCTGGACAGCTTGACTGAACACACTGTTAACTCAAAAACAATTCTGATTATATCCACTGATCATGAACACGGGGATAATGTGACTGGACTCTGTTTCTTAATTATTAGATAGAATTCCAAAGAAAATATTTTACATTCTTAAGTTCATGTAAGACTTTACCTTATTACAATATATAAGGATTGAGTATAATTCAGATGCATTTTGAACTCTGCCCAAGGGGCTTAATAACTAAAAAGAGTTCATTTTAAGTTATAATTATCCGGCCTAATATCAGAGTTGTTAAGCTCCAATTATCTGAATAATTAAGAAAGGTCGTTTTCCACAAAAGTAAATCTTCTAGTTTACCCATTTAACCATCAAAATCATTCTGAAATTTATTACACTATTTTATCTTCTTAAACAGAGACTATCCTATTTAAACAGAGTGCCTGGTATATATATTAATTCTTAATAAATGTTCATTGAATGAATTAACAAAGGAATGAATGATTCAAAGGTAGCATTCTTATATTGTGATTGCTTGTACATCTCTTACACTTAACACTTGAGGGGAATGATGATATCTTGTTCCACTTGTTCCTTGTCTCTAGTAATAAGTGACATATAGCAGGTACTCCGTAAATATCTGATGAATGAATGAATTATGGATATGGGTTATTACTCAGTGCTGTGAACTGATGAGGTTCAGATTGCTTTTTATGTATAGATTTTACTATATCTACACCAATGTTTTTCGAAGTGTAGTCCAGAGACCATCTGCAAGAGATTTCCCTGGAACTTGTTGAAATTGAGACTCCCAGGCCTTATGCTAGCCCTAGTGAATCATATTTTCTGGGAGTGGGTAGAGAAAGCTGCATTTCCAACTATTTATGCACATTAAAATTTGAGAGTCTGTATTCAATGTCCTATAGGTTGCTATCACTTCTCAGGGTTTCAGCTTCTGCTGGTTTCAATATGCTATAAACTAAGACGAAACCAGATGTATATAACCAGATATTTTTATTTGGCAAATTTAATGTTTTTAAAGACATCAAAGGTCTTCTCAGGGCTGAAGACAGCTTCATGTCTTTTCTAGGAAGCAAAATGCAAGGGCAGCTATGTTTTTCAGAGAGCTTGTTTTACTGACTTCCTTCTTCATGGCTAAGTTCTGGGCTGCTGTTATACCAAAAATCTCAAATGTGAAACCAGTTTCTATTAATAGGCAGAATAGTATGGAATAAACTCCAAGTAAATCCAATTTGAAACTTTATAAATGAACTCTCCAAATTCTCAGTGATACAGATATATACATCTAAAGGAAAATATGAATTGTGTCTTTTTTTAAGTTCTACAAAACACCAAATATTTTATGATCATCAATTCTTAAACAATAAGCTGCTGGTAAAATTCTACCTATTTTAATGTTAAATCTGGAGAATTTGATTTCAAAAATTATTTACCCCATCAATGGCTTATCTATTCCTTGCTAGCTCTTAGGGGGAAAGCAGGATGTACTGACATTTATCGCTTCTGGTAAATTAAGATAATCATACTAAAATTAACAGGCTGAGAAACAGCCTATTCATCATGTCTGAAGAAAGTAGCAAATTTTCTAAGTAATTATAAAACACAAATGCTCAAAGAAAATTATATGCCTAGGAAATGGTCAATAAGGCATCTGTGGACCATTAATGTCTGCACAGTGTGTACACTTGTGAGGCAGTGTCCCCACAACTACAGGTAAGAAAAAACCTAATAGTCTGTTGCCCATTTTCTAATGAGAACATTTTTGCCTTAGACAATGCTCATTTGTCAATTGATACATAGATCATCACCGCGGAGGCGCAGGGCTATGTAAGTCAACGCACGCAGAAGCTTCAAGGACTGCAAGGATGTCATACTTAGTGAAAAGTTTAAGATTTAATTTCCTTTCAAATTTATATTTGGGACTGTATATTAGCTTAAGTTCTTTCAAAGTGCTCTTGCCAATAGTTCCATTTTAGTCTCTTCCATCAAAGGAAGAAGACCAAGCCCCTCTGCAGCATCACTTGCTGTTCCGGTTCTGCAGTGGACTGGGGGGTTCACTGGCACCTTAGGCCCAGTGCTCGAAGGACCATCGTTGCTTTCCTGGTGGGTCTTGTGGCAGTTATCACAGTTTCCTTAGGCTAGCACCAGGTATTTGATTTCCCCCTAAATCATCGGGGGAAGAGGGAAAGATTAAGACTTTGGCCTAAAGTGGGTTCCATAGATACTACAGGTATTAACAAGCAGGGAGGAGTTCCTAGTCAAATAAGTCTGAGAAACAAAGGGTTAAACAACAGGGCTCATTGGCCTTTAAAATGCTAATTAGCACTAGGACTCTCCCTAGTGACTAGTGTTACACAGAAATACTGCCTTGTTCCACCACAAGTAGGTTTGGCTTAACCCTTTATTTCTCTTGCCACCAGAGAGATAATGAAGAAGAATCACATTACACTGTCTCTGAACTCTCTTACATCATTCTACTTAGTGATTCTTTGTTTCAGGATTTAACTTCTCTGACTTACTCCTGTCACCAACTTGACAGCAGGGGCTGTTCTCCCCCGTTTCTTGTGGTATCTTTCACTGTGCAAAGAGACAGTGAGTGGTCACAAAATATACGCTGCCTGTGCTGACTAATAAGCTTCTACACATGAGCCAAACACGTAATGTGAATGTTAGAAGAGTTGGTGATAATTATTCTCTTTTCTCAAATGATTTGGGAAAATCAAAGTTTACAGAAACTACTAAAGTACAACAAAAGCTCGTCCATATTTGATTCTGAATCCAAGAAGTGACTTAGGAATAGGAATCTTTGCACTCATCCGTTCAACAGATGTATATTAAGTGCTTACATGTTCTAGAGGATGGACATGCAGAAGTAAATGAAAACAAAGTCCTTGCTCTTATGATGCTCGTATTCTAGTTGAAGGAGAGAGACCATAAATAAACAGACAAACACACAATATGTCAGATGTTAAGCACTATGAAGAGAAATCAAGAAGGGAAAGGAGGGACCGGGGGTAGGAAATGGTGTTGTTTTAGAAATGATTGTCAGGGAAGTTGAATACGGTGACATTCAATATCTACGTCTAATAAGGTGACATTTAAGGAGACACTCGAAGTGTGAGAGAGGAAAATATGTGGCTACTGAGAGAAGAACATTCCAGCAGAGGGATTAAAAAACGCAAAGGCCCTGAGTTTGCAATGTACTTGGCACATCTGACAAACAGAAGAATAAACAGTAGCCAGTGTGGCAAAGTGAGTGATGAGAATAGCAGACGAGGTCACAGAGGTATCCAGGAGCAAGATTATGTAGGGCTTTATAGGCCTTATAGTGTATTGTGAGTAAGCTGGAGAGTTTTGAGTAAATAAGTGACATACCGCCTCATGTTTTAAAAGCATCACTCTGGCTACCATGTAGAGATTAAACTGGTGGAGGAAGGGTGGAAGCAGGGAGATGGGAGGCTACTGCAGTGGTCCAGGAAAAAGATGATGGTGGCTTGCACTGAAGTGTACAAGTAGAACAGGTAAGAGTGAGAGCTGCTAAGAAGCTGACATGATTTGCTGATATGTTTGATGTGGGATGTGAGAGAAGGAAAAAAGGTTTTTCTTCTGAATAATTGGAAGAATTAGAGTTGTCATTTACTGAGATGGGGAAAAATAGGAGAGGAATGGGTTTTGGGGAGAATATCACTTTAGTTTTTGTCATGTTAAGTTTGAGAAGCCTATTATACTTCCAAGTGGAGATGTCTACGAGGCAGTTGGAGATACAGTATGGTATTCAGGGGAGAAGTCTGGGCTGGAGATTTAAATCTGAGAGTCACAAGCATAGAGATAGGCATTCACAGTGGTAAGACTGGGTGATAAAACAAGGAGTTAGGCATTCACAGTGATAAGACTGGGTGATAGAACAAGGGAATGAGTAGATATAGGGAAGAAGAGGTTCTAGAATGAACTCTGAGGCGCTGAAATGGAGGTCAGGGAGACGAGGAAGACCCAGCAGAGTAGACTGAGAGATAAGAAGAGAGTCACCTGTCTCAAGAGAGAAAGTTGTTCCAGAAACCAAATGAAGAAAAAGCCTCAAGAAAGAATAAGTGATCAAATATGTCAAATGTTACCAATGATCATTGCATTTGGTACCGTGATCACCACATCGGGCACTGTAAAGGACAAAACGACCTTGACAAGAATACTTGTGCTGGAGTGGTGGGGATGGAAGCCTGACTGGTTCAACAAGGGACGGGAGGAGAGGAAGTGGTAGAGTACAGTCTTTTAAGGAATTGAACTATAAAGGGGAGCAGACCTGTCAGCCTGACTGTGTTTTTTTCAAGCCACATTTAAATGCTCAGGTATAGGCATGGAGCAAGAGTTTAGCTGGATTTCATGAGGGAGCATTTTGCTAGGCACAAGCGCCCCAGAGGGAGAGCTGGGCAGGGGAGTTGAGAGTGCCTGTAAGGGGGTAATTCTAGTGACGAACCGTGGAATCTAGAGTGGGTTTAGGAAGCTGGGATTAGGAGACTAAATTCTTGCATGGTATATAGATGGTTCCACTTCCACCTAATTTACACACAGTCCTTACTGAGAGCTACACAGTTCTCTAACAGGAAGATTTCCTCTCACCTTTCAATGAACTCTAAGAGAATATGGTCTTAAGTTTTCAACTTTAACTGCCTTACTTATTATGTTGTCAGATCAAACAGCTTCCTTGTCATTAGAACGAAGACACAACTAAATTAAAATCTTTATAAAACTCCAGTAACGTGTGAAAAGTTCAGCAGCCAGGATTTGGGGGGGAAATGACTTTAGGGAGATAATTCTAAGCAAAACGAGCAAGATGAGGCCACTAAAAATCTAAAGATTCCAAGAGTTGGGTAAGGCAGAATGACCTGAGAAGCCTTAAAACCTTTGCTGCAGTTGTGACATCTTTCAAACGCACTGAGAAGAGTGAAACCTGTGTGCCCACTATTCCACTGAAGTCTATCATTTTGCCACTCTTGCTTCAGATTTTTAAGTGTTTTTATAAAGAAAGACTTTTTACAAAGTACCTATTTCTACCTCTGTCCCAGGGAAGCTCTGTTACTCATGGGAGTTGATCATATTCTTCAGGTGTGCTAGGGGTGGGATAAAAAGGTTGGGGGCTGCTAGACCACTTTTCTTTTTTTTTAACTTTATTTATTTATTTATTTATTATTCCCCCAAAGCCCCAGTAGATAGTTGTATGTCATAGCTGCACATCCTTCTAGTTGCTGTATGCGGGATGCGGCCTCAGCATGGCCGGAGAAGCGGTGCGTCAGTGTGCGCCCGGGAACCGAACCCGGGCCGCCAGCAGCGGAGCGGGCACACTTCACCGCTAAGCCACGGGGCCGGCCCTAGACCACTTTTCTGTACTGTCAACACACAAATTTGCCATAAAAATGACTTGACACTTAAAGGATTTAAAAATCTTTTTTTTTTTTCCTGATAACATAAAATTCAGTTCCTTGAATTTGCAAATAAATGGCAGTAGCCAATAACCTTCTACTTAGACTGTGAAGGCATAGCTGTTGTTCTGTGCTGCAGACTATCAGGGATGCTCATATATAAAAACCGCCCCCTTACTTGTTGTTTCCCATTGCTCCTTGCTGCCAGGCCTTCATGTCTGGTGACTGGTACCCAGAAGCAGGTGGAGTTTGCTGGAGCAGAGAGCTCTGAGGAGGAGGGATTGGCATCGGCACCATGGAGCTCCCAGGGCTTAGAGATGGAGCAAAGTTGGCCTCACCTTGGGGAACCATTCCTGCAAATTGACACAAATTAATTTATGTGAATACACTATAAATTTATTAACCCTATAAAAGAAAAATCCCCATAAAGATCTGTCAATATATCTTAAAATATCCTTTTCAACAGAGTAGGAAAAATATTCCAGTCTCTTATAAACGAGGCAGAAAATTTCTGTATAAACAGAAAGATGAATAAATGCATAAAATAAGTATGGAAGAATCCTTTCCATTCACTAAGATGTTGATTTGGGTACCAGGATTCTGCATAATTTGTTTTTTTGCTTACATGAATTTTTAAGTGTAAAAAACATATATCAAAATACTTGGGGCCGGCCCGATGGCGCAAGCGGTTAAGTGCGGGCGCTCGGCTGTGGCGGCCCGAGGTTCGCCGGTTCGGATCCCGGGCGCCCACTGACACACTGCTTGTCAAGCCATGCTGTGGCAGCGTTCCATATAAAGTAGAGAAGATGGGAATGGATGTTAGCCCAGGGCCAGTCTTTCTCAGCAAATAAAGAGGAGGATTGGCAGATGTTAGCTCAGGGCTGATCTTCCTCACACACACACACAAAAATACTTGACGGATTACTTGTGTATTAAATTGAAAATGGAAAAAGGTAAAAACAAAAAACAAAAAAAACCCACGTATGAAACGAAGAATGAGAAAGTTTTGCTGGCCACTCCTCCTCAGTTGTCTTTGTGGGCTCTTCCTCTCTTCTGTCATTTTTTTTTTTAAGCTTTATTGAGATATAACCTACCCAGCATCAAATTCACCCATTGAACTGCACAATTCAATGATTTTTAGCAAATTTATAGAGTTGTGTAACCATCACCACAATCCAGTTTAGACATTTTCATCATCCCCAAATTTCCCTGTGCCCATCGGCAGTCAATCCCCACTCCCACTTCTAACCTCAAGCAACCACTGATCTGCTTTCTGTCTCTACAGATTTGCCCTTTTTTGGAAATTTCATATAAGCGTAATCACATGTGGTCCTTTATACCTGGCTTCTTTCACTTTGCATAATGTTTTTGAGTTTCAACCACTCTGTAGCATCTCTTAGTAGTTCGTTCCTTTTTACTCAGGATAGTGCTTATTAGCAGCCATTGATATAACTACTTGAAAATCAATTGACCACAAAAGTAGGGGTTTATTTCTAGATTTTTCATTCTTTTGTAGTGACCTATATGTCTATACTTCTATCAATACCTCATTGTCTTGATTGTTGTAATTGTGGTAATTTTTGAAATTGGGTAGTAATCCAACTTTGTTTTTCTTTTTCAAAATTGTTTTTGCTTCTCTAGGTCCTTTGCATTTCCATAGAAATTTTGCATTTCCAAGGAGAAGCTTGTCAATTTCTCCAAAAAGCACGCTGACATTTTGATAGGGATTGCATTGAATTATAAGATCAATTTGGAGTGAATTACCATCATTTTAGTCGTTTTCTCTCTGATTTCATTTTAGTTTCTATTGTTATATCTTCAAGTTCACTAATTTTTTTCTTCCGTAATGTCTAATCTGCTTCTTATCCCTTCCAGTGTATTTTTCATCTCAGCCACTGTAGTTTTCATTTCGGTTTTGTTTATATCTTCTCTACCTCTCTACCTCTACTTAACATGTTCAAGCTTTCCTCTAGCTTCTTGAACATAAAGAATAAATGTATAATTATAATTGTTTTAATGTCCCTGTCTACTAATTCTATCATGTGTGTAATTTCCGGGCTGGTTTTGATGGACTAATTTTCTCCTCATTATGGGTTGTATTTTCCTGCTTCTTTGCATGCCCGGTAATTTTTAAAATAAGATTCTAGACCTTGTGAATTTTACCTTGTTAGGTGCTATATTTTTAAAATTCCTTTAAATATTTTTGATCTTTGCCTGTGTTGTGGTTAGGTTACACGGAAACAGTTTAATTCTTTGGGGTCTTGTGCCTAATGAGACAACAACAGGGTTTAGTCTATGACTTATTTTGCCCCACTACTGAGGCAAAACCCTTCTGAGTATTCTACCTGACACCTCATGAATTATGAGGTTTTCTATTCTGGCTGGTGGGAAGAGGAACTGGCCCTGTGTGAACTCTGAAAATTGTGCCCTCTAATCTTTTCAGGTGCTTTTTCTTGGCCTTGGTTTACACACACACACACACACACACACACACACACACACACACCCCCACCCAGTTCCCAGCTGAAGACCTGAGTGAGACCCTCTACATATCCTCGTAGCTCTCTCTGTGTGGCTGGCTCTCTCCTGGTACTGTGCCCACAGACCTCTAGTGGCTGGCTCTCTCCTGGTACTGTGCCCAGAGACCTCTAGCTGCCTTGATTTTCCAGGACTCCCAGCTCCACTGCCTCAACTCAGGGAAATCGGCCTCCTGTTGAATTTCCCCTCCCTGCAGCACAGTCTGGACAATTTCGAGAACTGTTGTTTAATGTACTTTGATTTTTTGTTTGTTTCAGATAGGGGAATAAATTTGGTCCGTTACTCCATCTCGGGCAAAAGTGGAAGTCTATAATGATATAAAAGAGTAAAAACGAGTTTCTTTTTATAAAAGTTTTCTGTTATGCTAGCACTCTGTATTCTTTTTCTTCTTTTCCTGACAAAATATATTTCACAGTTAAATACTTTTGAGGTAGAAAATGTTATAAAGATGTGGAAAAAAGAATGCCATAATTTGAATACCCAGAATTTAGCACAATTCCTTCAAATCTTCATACCACATTAACCAGAGATGTAGTTTATTTATTTAGGTTTATTTTTTATAGGCTACAATTTAAAAAATATTTTAAATTTTCTGGGAAAGTTGAGCCAATTGTAGACTTTCTCTACACTGTTTTCTTTCACTATGTTTAACTACCATTGGTAAAGATTATATAAATAAAGCTACATATTTTCTCCTTGCTGCTTCGTCTGTATGTAATTTAATCTCTGGTAAATAATTTTGACTTAAAATATATAGAGAAATTTGTTTTCTCATTTATGACTCTAGAGGGTGGGTTTTTTCCCCCATCATCTTCATTTATACATTGACTGTCTTTGCATTAATTTTCCATTTTAAATTTTAACAACTTTGGTTATGATCCTTAAAAAAAAACTTGTCTGTTTCAAATGCATTTTTAACCTTATTTATGATGAAATAATTTCTCTCTGAAAATATATATATGTAAGTGGGGGAAAAGATACTTATCATATTCTGGATACTATATCCTGTGGCATCAAAGTTAAACAATAAATAAGAGCCTCCAAGTACATTGGCATGCTTTTGACATTTCTTTCTGGCCTCATCTCCCATTCTAACAGCCCAAGTTTTCCTTATCAGATGACCTAGTTTTAATAGAAGGAAGCGGCCTGTGAATAATGAATTGGAGGAGTAGTTACAGTTCTGGTCCCAGTTCTGCCACTATATTAGACCTTGGATTCCTTGGACTAGACAATCTAGTTCCTTCTAGTTTAAAAATTCTACAGTTATATCTTTGCCTAGATTATATTAAGTCTCCCTGCTGGACCATAAATAGCCTCATGGCCATTTGGCAGCAGCAACTAGAATTAGGATTCATCCTTCCACTCATTTATCTCTTCAAAGATTTGTTGAGCATCAACTTACTGCCAGACCACTGTGCTAAGCACTTGAGAAACAAAGATGAAAAAGGTCACACTTTGCTCATGCAAGGTAGATGTTGTCCAAAAAGAAAGGCAGCTAGGTTAACAAACGGCTATAAGACAGGATGGTGAGAGCTTATGACTGGGAGTGTCAGGGAAGGCTTCCCAGAGGAGACACCTTTGAGAGGAAGGAGGAACAGAAGGAGACAAGTGATGGAAGGATATTTTAGACAGAGGGTACAGGATGCACAAAGGCCTAGAAGTATAAGAGAGCAAGGTATGTACTCTTTCTTGGAACTTGAGAAGTTCGTTATATCTGTAACATTGAGATATGAAGGGAAGGGGAAGTGGAGTTGATGAGATTAGCTTTGGAAAAGTTGCGTTTGGGGTGCTGGTGGAAAATTCAAGTATGTCTGTCCAGTAGGCAGCTGTACATATAAGCTGAGACATCTGGTTTAGAGATAGAGAACAGAGCCATTAGCATGAAAAGGTCACTGAAGCCACAGGAGTAGATGAGATCACTCAGGAGGAGTGGGTGGAGTAGCATGTTTACTGTAGTTCACAGAAGAGGGAACTCTGGACTAGCTTCAAGGAATTCATGAAGCGGGTACAAAATTTTTAAAAAATTTCTCTCACGTTTACTTTGAATATAGCCTTAATATAAAATAAATTTTAAATATCTAATTCTGTTCTTGTGCACTCATCATGATGGCATGATAGTCTAGAAAAATTTTCTGTTTTCCGAAATAAAAGAAAGCATACTCAGCCCTTACTATCAGCTACATGTTCCTTCATTTACTTTGGGCTTATAATAAGCTGAGAGATGCCAAAGCAAAGGACTAAAGCAAAGCTACTGTATTCATCCTTTGGTTTTACCGTCATCAATTAACACGGTGATCAGCAAACTTTTTCCACAAAGGGCCAGACAGTAAATGTTTTCAGTTTTGTGAGCCATAAGGTTTCTGTAACAACTACTCAACTCTGTTGTGTAAAACCAGCCACAGACAATACATAAACTAATGAACGTGGCTGTGATCCAATAAAACTTTATTTACAAAAACGTGGTGGCTTTTTTTTTTTTTTTTTTGGAGAAGGCTTGATTTGAAAGGTTGGAACTTTCCCAGAACTTGAATTTGTATCAACACAAAGCCTGGTCTTGAAGCCTTCTAGCAGGCTGCTAATCATCCTGGAGTAAGTTTATTAGAGCAGTGGAAGAAATACAAAATTTCATACCTTTAAATGTTCTTATGCTCACCAGAAAAACTAACAAATTTTCCCTCTATTATTTTGAAACAGTTCATGGAAGAACTGAAAGCTCTGCCATTTCATTTCAGTCTGCAACCAGATGTAACTACCGCTCTCTTCACTGTACCCAGCTTCTAAGTTTTGTTTGTTGTATGAATGCTGACTCTATCACAAAAAATTCTTGTTTTGTGAAAAGTATTTTTTGTCAATTAAAATTTGGACTGGAAGAAAAATCCAGGAGCCAGATAGAGCACTTATGATGGGGGGCAACACATCCAGTTATACTGCCCGGTGAAGAAGTAAGCTTCACCCACTCACTGTCTCAATCGCCATGCTCCATACTGACTTGCAATAGATCACAGACAGCAATGAAAGAAATCTTGGCAACTTCATTGGAAATGTGTCTTTGAAACACTGCCTTTCCAGGTGGCTTTGGGAAGGAACATGAGCAGGATAGGAAGTTCTTTCTTGGCTTTCCAGAGAAGGATGTTAAAGAGCATGACTGAAAACTGACAGAAGTATTATTATTATTTTTTTTGTGAGATCAGCCCTGTGCTAACATCTGCCAATCCTCCTCTTTTTGCTGAGGAAGACTGGCCCTGGGCTAACATCCATGCCCATCTTCCTCCACTTTATATGGGACGCTGCCACAGCATGGCTTGCCAAGCAGTGTGTTGGTGTGCACTCGGAATCCGAACCCGCAAATCCTGGGCCGCCGCAGCGGAGCACACGCACTTAACCACTTGCGCCACTGGGCCAACCCCTAGAAGTATTATTTTTATTTTATTTTTTAAAAAAAGAATCCTTGGGGAATTTATTAATGTTTGGCTTACTTGTAGTTAGTTTTTTTTCCCCCAATGAAAGAGATAAATCTTTTGGTTTAATAAGGCTCTGCAATTAATATCATGAATGCTACTAAGAATCTATTTGCTATTTTGGCTAAGTTGTCATTTTGGAAGACGACTGGGGAAACAGATAACTATCCAAGTCTTCTAACGTTGGAGGAAGTACTTCTGCAGGCTAGAATAAAGTGAAAAAGGCTTGTCAAATTCTCTACATACAGAAATCATAAGACACATGAAAATACAACTCTTTTGAAGGTCACTTCTATTCAATCTTATAATTAAAATATGGATTTATAATCCTTTTCTTGCCCACACAGATAGTGTCAGTGATAGAAACCAGCCAAAGATGACTTCATTGTCTTGAGGACAAAGGAACTGATGTGGCATAATTTTGATTAAAATGTCTTAGAGAATTCTGGTGCTCTCTGACACAAGATACTTAATTTAATAGTCAAAGGATTTTAGCACTTGTTGCCATCAGAATGAAAAGTATAAATTGATTTGGCTGTCAAAGCTGATAAGCATACTGCCATGTCAAAAATCTCTATATAACTTCAACATTTTATTAAAGTCAAAGTAGCTTTCTCATTGAAAACCATTTTTAAGCAGCCTTAAAATTTACTTTTTCTTTCATAAAAATCAAAGGATTTATTTCAATTTTTTTTCAGGAATTTGCCATTAATTTTGCATCAACATTTAATTAAACATGGTGGATTAATCAAATGTGTTTTATTGCCACTATCTATTAGAATCTCAAAGTGATAGAAGAAAAATTTTAAAAGATATCATCACCTAGGACAAAGAGAATAGAAGAGAGACAGTGCAAATGAGAGAGTAAAAAAGAACAATCCTTTTGGAGGCCAGAAAGTGTGCTGCAGAGGAACAGCTTACAACCTAAGCAGCTAAGAGCAGTGACACGAATGAGAAGCCTGAGATACTTTGGGAAGATTGATTATCCTTATGTAAACTAACAAAAACAAAATCTCCAATGTAATGAAAAAATTGTAAGCAAATTTGAGTTAATGTATTTAAATCCATTGTCTGCAGTGAACTTGCATTAGATTCTTATGGGATCCATGAGAGAAAGTAAGAAACTGTGCTTTGCACACAAAATGTTACAAATTTTAGAGTCAGACAGGTCCTTATAGATCCTCCAGTTTAATCGTCTTAGCTATCAAAGAGAGATACACCCCAAACCATCCAAAAATTTAGTGGCAAGAGCTGAGTCTGGACCCTGGATCTCCTGACTCTCACGTCAGTGTTTTTCTCCTTCAGCACACTGCCTCAATGTCAGTGACCTAAAACACATATGAAGAGAGACCTGAGCCTGTCTGTAGTACGTATAAAAGCAACATAAAGTTGTGATCCTCATACCTGATCCTGGATACTGGAAGACATTCTGCTGCATCTGAGGATTGATTCCAGTGCCAAATTGTCCTCCCATGTTTCCTGTCATGCCTCTGTTCACCATGCTGTTGCGGTTGGCCAAAGTTGCCTCAGGATTTGCTGCCAGTTGTGAAAACGGGCTGGTAGAAGTAGGTGGGGTTCCTGGATTTGTACCATAGTTTGGTGGGTAGGGGAATTGCTGTGGAGCACCCTGAGGAAGACGGGGGTTCCCCATTTGAACTGGCAGTCCAGATGAGGGAGGGAGGTTGTTCCCAAAGCTTTGTTGCCTCATGAGCATGGCTCTTTGCTGCTGTATTAGCTGCCTCTGTCGGTGCTGTTGACTGTACAACTCCCGCTGGCGCTGTGCCAACATCTGGGCATTCAGGGGTGGCTGCAAGAGAGGAAAAAATCCTCACATTAATATATTATAATCACTACTTATCTTGGAAAGCTTACAGGATAAAGCCTAGAAGTTTGTGGCAACAAAAGATGTAGCAATTATCAGTGTAAAAGGAAACTAAAACAGAAAAGGGACAAAAACCTCTTAAGTAATAATCATATGAAAGAAAACGAATTAAGTACATTTTATAGATTAAAGGTAGTTGAGAAATGCTAAAACAATATCTGAACATTATAGCTGGTTAAACGCAAATTCTCAATTAAAAGTCACACAGAACTGAGAAAAGTCAAAGAAAGTATATATATTGATTAGTATTATAGGCCATGAAAACTGTTAAGAAAAACACAAAAAATAAAGAAGAGAAAGAACATGTGCTTGATGACTTCTATCTTATCTGATATTAGGTTGTTCCGACTTTTTTCCTTTTCATTTCCAAAAACTTTACTGTGTTTCTAGTATGGAGAAACTGTTTTTTCCTTTTCTCACTGAGATCATTTATTCTACTTTAAATGAATAAAATGTGATTATAGGTGATTTTAATTTTCTGCATTATACTTTTCTGTATTTTCCAAATTATCTCTATAATGAATATGCATTATCTTTACAATTAGAAAAACCTACAAACACCATTAAAAGAGGAAGAATCAGGAATCCAGGAACCAATGACAAACAAGTTATCACTTATCAATTAGAAATAAAATAATAAACAGAGATAATTGGAAACAGCTATTTTATATTATTGTTGCAGTATAAGACTACTCTAGGCATTAGAGTAAGTGTTTTAATGGCTATAATATTATGGATGAGGAAAGAAGTGGTAAAATTAGGTTGCAGTCAGTTTTTGGTCTAACTTGCAAAGCAATGTGGCATGTCATTAAAGCCTTCCTAAGAAAATGTCAATTCAGATTGAAGATCTGATTAAAGCATGCAGCTCCATTAAAATTAAACTTGCCAACTAGATATAGTCCAACCTAGAAGAAACTATGACATATGACTTTCTGATAGAAATCATCTTCATGTGAATTCCAAAAGTGGAGTCTTGTTTCCTTACTATCTAATTACCCTTGCATAAGCTAACCATTGAGATTTACAAGACAGAGAAACCCAAGTCTGGATTCATGAAGATACCAGTATCTGCTGCTCACCAGCAGTTTCTGTCAATATTTATCCCTTTGGTTAGTGTTGGCTTCCTGTATTTGCCCCAAATCTACGTAGGTCCATTTTACAGAGAAATGAAGAGTTTTGTTTGAATCTTCTCTTAAATCCCTCATCCTCCAAATATTTTTGTCAACTTGGTTAAGAAAACACAAAAAAAGTGGTTGAAGCAAAAATATTAAAATATGTGTGGAAGTTAAGTAGGGAGTGAGTACTAGATAACTCTTAGAAGGCTACCCAGTTCCTTTTATGTTTAAAGTTCTAATGGCTCAGGGTTCATATACAAGGATCATTAAAATAAATAAAAAATAGAAAATGTTGACACTCAGACTGAGCAGAGAACACAAGGTAATCAAGATAACTCAGCAATGTGACTGGGATTTGCTCAGGTGTCAGGTACTATTCACACAGCTTCACATCTTAGGCTTCTTATTACTGGTACTATTCAGTACAGCAATAACAGTGTTCTACTTAGTCATCTAGTATCTAATAGCAATGACAACAATAACAATAAAACAAAACAAAGAACTTTTGGCTTTAGATCAAATATCAGTAAGGGCTATCACAAATTGATTGTAAATTCATTCTAGAAGAAAGCTACACTACAAACGTCATTAAAAGATCAGTTCACAGACCATTTCAAAGACACTCAAGTTCAACACTTTAAGAAACAAAGCTTGGGGGGCCGGCCCGGTGGTGCAAGTGGTTAAGTGCGCGTGCTCTGCTGCGGCGGCCCGGGGTTTGCCGCTTCAGATCCCAGGCGTGCACTGACACACTGCTTGGCAAGCCATGCTGTGGCGGCGTTCCATATAAAGTGGAGGAAGATGGGCACGATGTTAGCCCAGGGCCAGTCTTCCTCAGCAAAAAAAGAGGATTGGCGGATGTTAGCACACAGCTGATCGCCTCACAACAACAACAACAAAAACACAGCTTGGGTTAAAGATGTACTAACGATGTCTGATTTTCTCACTTTACCTGAGGTGTAATTTGCTGCTGCATGCCTGACCTCATATTGATGCCAACAGGAGTGTTTGCTGCAAACTGGTTCAAGATAGCTTGCCGATTCTGGTGTATTAACTAGAGAAAAACGGAAACAATGAGATATCATAGTCCTATATACAAACATACAGCATGGCCCTTATAGAGTAACACAAACTTTTTATTGATTACTAACAAGTTTTAATATGGCAGGTTTAGTAAGATTATTTCCCATGTTTATTTGCCAAAAGGCTGGCAATTCCTAACACTTATCAAATATTTCCTGCCTACAGAACACTAAGTATGGCAGAGCACTTAAAAGCAGAACACATACACACATACATATATGTATATATACACATGTGTAAATACCTATGTGCATAAATATACATACGTGTGTGTATTCTACTTTTAAGTGCTCTGCCATATTTAGTGTTTTGCAGTGTGCATACATATATGCACACACACACACACACACAAACGTTTACCGTACTTTTTAAAACATGTTAATTCTTAGTTATTTCAGATAAGTACAATAATGGAGAGGAAAGAAGCATCAGCCCTAGGTCTTAAACTATTATGAGTAAAAAAATAAGTATACAATAGGGCATATTCTACAAAGATCTGGAAGATGAATGAAAAAGTTGAAGTACTTTTCACTTGGAGGGTGCCTGTCTGATGGGTAATTCTGGGGGAAAATCCAATGAGGTTTCATTAGCTGGAGAGAATTATGTAAGAAAGGGTCTGAGAAAATGGACTATTTATTTAACTAGAAGTAATTACTTTAGACCAGCATTTCTAAAGAAAATTATTCTGCAGGATATTAATAGATGTGCCAGGAAAATAGCATGCTGTGCTGTATTAAGTATTGGAAATGATGGGTTTACACAAGGTGAAATAGATTTCTTTACTGTAATTCTATGAGGCTTTAACTGGCCAAAGCACATGGTGGTTCTCCAAGAAGAGGATATACTATGCAACTTATTTATCACAAACTTTTTTCTCTGACATATAGCCACTAACATTTACCTCCTAGAACAATATTCTATGGAATACTAGTTTGGAAGATGCTGTCTATATCAGGCTTAGGGTTCCAGGTGATAGGCATGCCTTAATTTTATCAGGTAACAAAACAAGCATTCTTGGAAGTGCTACCTCCTTACAAACAATCTATAGCTTAAAGAATTTCTTGTTCAATAATTTGATATGAATACATTGTTTAGAGAAATAACAGTAACAATAATATCAATACTATTTTGTGTTTGTCTGGTACTTTATAACTTAATTATAAAATATACTGATATAAGATATTGCTATATAAATATATTTGAATACATTTAATATATTTTAATATATATATGCAAACTAGAAAGCCTATTAAAGTTTTATAAGAGAATCCAAAAAGCTGTAAACAGTGATTAAATACCTCATCTCCAAATAACCCAATTCTTAATTCTGGTTTCATTCATTTTCTAACTCCCATTAGATCAGAAAACAAACTGATCTGGGGGGAAAGGCTCAATATAATGTAAATGCTAAAATTAAAACTTTCAGGCATTGTGGAATAGGACAAAACATTCAGAATCACTTCAAAAATAAAGATACCAACATCATGGCTTTAAAAAGTCAAAGGGACTCAAGTACAAAAATCTACATACTTCTTAAACTCAATAGACAATGAACATGAGTTTAAATAAAGCATTAATTTTACAAAGATTTATCAAAAAACTCAGTATATGCAAGATACTACATAAAGTTTGAAGGCTACTAAGGTGAGCAAATTTGTATCCTCTGGGAATTCTCTGTTGAGTGGCAGAGGCCAAAACAGAACAGTGCAATGCACAAGTGCTATATTTGCATATATAGAGGCCTCTACAGCAGCACAGAAGGAGCAACTAACTTAGCCTAGGACATGAAGGCAGGGACCAAAAGCATGAGTGAGCTCAATGGGACCCTGAAAATAGAGTTAACTAGAGGCAGAGAGAACAGCAAGTATAAAAACATAAGAGAAGGCAATGAGGAAAAGTGAAAATACGTCAATACTTAGCAATAAAGAGAAGTAAAATTGCCAGGGGAGTGGCAGTTGGGATTCCAAAACTTACATATTCTTTAAATTGTGAGATAATGTGAGAATGAAATGGGTGGAGATGGAGGAAAGATGCTTGAGAAGTAGTAAAAATGAGAAAATAACCTTAGAAAAGAAATGAAAACTTCAGAAAATAAATAGGCTATTTTTAGAAGTAGAAGGCATTATTCTAAATAGCAGCAATCTGCAAGCACTTTCTGTTGCAGAATAATTGCTCTATTTCTGTCCTTGAAATAACTCATTTCATTTTTCCCTCCCTTTGACTATCTGTGTGTACCACCTGACTAATGCTGTGTACAACTGTCTCACTCTGACCTGCCTCCTTCTCTCTGCTTACTAAAATGGTAGCCATTTTCCAGCAAACAGGTCAAGTTCTACTTCTTCCAAGGAAGTCTTTCCAAAAGGATCACCACATCCTTTATCTCCTCAGAAATCTTAACTTTTGTGGGGTTAGGGAGTGGGAGGAGAGAGGTTGGTAGTCCTCAGAGCTGCAGACACAAATTTAAAAGCATATAGAGGCCAGGTCAAAAGGCTTGTACCACAAAAGGAAATGCGGGGTTTGTGGCCACTGGAAGAGTACAAACCCAGCCAACATGTATAAAACACACATGCACACACACACGTGCACAGTCCAGGCTGGCTATCATTGTGTCCGTCTGAATGGATTTTTTTTTTTTAATGCCTTAGCAAGAAGTTCTTCTATAATAAACCTAAAAGATGATTATCTAGACCACAGGTTCACAACCAGGGGTGAATCTGCCCCACAAGGGACATTTGGAAATGTCCAAAGACATTTTTGGTTATCACAACTTGGGGAGGGGTTGCTACTAGCATCTGGGTGTAGAGGCCAGGGACGCTGATAAACATCCTTCAATGCACAGAAAGAACCCCACTAACAAGAATTATCCAGCCCTAAAATGTTAACAGTGCCGAGGCTGAGAACCCTGATTCAGCCACCACACAAATTCTTGCCAAATCAAGGAGTTCTTCAAAGAAGCTTATGCTTTTATCAGGCAGTTTGCATTGCCAGAAATCTGGAGGTGAAATCTGCTTCCCTGTATTTTCTGCCCTTTGATCTTAGTTCTATTTTTTGGTCACTTCTATTCTCTATAATATATAAAACAGTGGTTCTTACACCAGATCCATATCTTTCTTTAGTACCCCAACACATAACATATCTGGACTTGACTCGTTTCAAGATGGCTAAGTATACCATATTTCTTTATCTGTCTCGACTGTTACTCCCTCTTCATATTATTCTTTTCTTGATAGTGCGAAGACCATGGCCCTTGCTGGAGAAGAAGAAAACAAAACTGGAATAGAATAATTGTACCTTTTGTCAGCCAGTGTTATACCATTTTCTACAAGCAGTAGGTCTACCTATTTTTGATGTTGTCCTTTTCCCAAAATAGAACTTTAGAAGTTCTTTATTGGTATTACAGATATATTTTTTGAGTCTTTGCTTATTTAAGATGTAAGTAACACTACATCTAAAGGCTTATATTATAACTTTGTGTTTCTTCTTAATCACCAGCTCCTTCCTTCATTTTTGCTGGTCTTTAAAAGTCTCAACCAATGCACCTATACTAGTTTTCCAGGGTGTTTTTCCTCCCCCTGTCCCCTAACTGGGGATTATTTATAACTGTATAATCAAATTTAGAATCTTTTTATTCTTTGTGTACCATACTCCAGTCAATGCAATATACTTAAGATCAAGAAATCATATCTGTTTTTAAATTGATCTTAAAATCCATTAAAAAGAAACAAGCTATGATATAGATCTGAGTATGTCTCTTTGTCTTCTCAAATCATCAGACACTATGCTGAATTCCTGCCTATGAGATGCTTACATCTCCTATGTTAGGCAAGAGGGAAGGGGGAAGGAGAGGATATGACCAACAAGTAAACAGGTGATGTCAATCCACTGAGGTGAGTGTATTATGAACACCATGCTATGAATCTGATGTATTCTGGATACTAAACCTTTGTCAGTTATATGGGGTTGCAAATCTCTTCCCTGAGTCTATGGCTTATCTTCTAACCTTGTTTATGGTATATTTTTTTTGTGTGTGAGGAAGACCAGCCCTGAGCTAATATCCGATGCCAATCCTTCTCTCTTTTTTTTTTTTTTTTGCTGAGGAAGACTGGCCCTGGGCTAACATCCGTGCCCATCTTCCTCTACTTTATATGGGATGCCACCACAGCATGGCTTGACAAGCAGTGCGTCAGTGCGCACCTGGGATCTGAACCTGCGAACCCTGGACCGCTGAAATGGACTGCACACACTTAACCGCTGTGCCACCGGGCCGGCCCCCTTTTATGGTGTCTTTTATCTTAGGAGTTTTAAATTTTAATGCAAACATCAACCTTTTCCTTTATGTCCCTTTGTTAAGAGGCCATAGAGATCTTCTCATAGTCACATTTAGGTCATTAAAACACCTAGAATTTATTTTTCTGTATGGTATAAGGATCTAATTTAATTTTTTTCTCCTCAGGGATATTGAAATGTACCAGCCTGTATTACACAGGCCATCCTTTCCCCACTGATTGCCACCTCTGTCACTGACTAGGTCTCTATACACGCCTGGATGTGTCTCTGGGTTCTCTATTATGTTCCAGTGGGTAGAACTCTCTATCCCTGTGCCAGTTCCACATTGCTTGGTTTTCATTTCTAAAGCTTGGCTTTAAATCTTGATATCTGGGAGGGCAAGTTCATCCTCGTTCTTCTTTAAGATTGTATTTATGCTTCTAAAATAAATTTAGCGTCTATGTGTCAGATTCCATGTTGAGATTCTGATTGGAATTCCACTGAATTTATAGATTAATTTCAGAACAATAGTCTTTCAATTCACAAATATCTTTTTTTAGATCTTCTTTTTGACTTCCAATTATGATTCATAATTTTCTAAGTTTTATAAATTGTGAACATATTTTGAAACTATATTTTCTCATTGGTTTTTGCTAGTAAAAAAGATTGCCATTAATTTTTATTTCTTGTTCTTTTATCTAGAAACGCTGCTGAACTTAGTTCTAAGTTCCTTGTAGATTCTCTTGGATTTTCTATGTAAGCAGTAGTATTATTTACATATGATAATTTTGTTTCTTTCTCATGTTTGCTTTCTATATTTCAAAACTACTTAATTTTTAGTGCACTGATAGTATTCTCTTTTTTTCCTGCACTGATATGAACTTACTCACTTAAAATATACAACCATCTAATGGAATTTAAGGCAAGAAAAAGGGTAGGTGTTCCACCTCAGTTCACCAATTTGATCTCAACTGTGAATTTCCCTGTATAACTTTAAACAATATATTTAAACCTCAATTTCCAAACCACAGCCATTTACTCTCCTCTTCTTCTTTGATGACAGAAGAAGATTTTGTTCAGCTGACTATCCCAAATCACACATCTCAAGGGGTAAACTGTAAGTACTCTAAGTCAATCCTTGCCAGTAATTGGTTAGGGGTGTACATGTGGCTCAGTTCTGGCTAGCCAGACGTGAAATCTTTTTTTTCCCCTTTTTTATTTTTTTTGAGGGGGAGGGGAGGAAGGAGGGACAAGAACCTTCTAAAAAAAGTTTCCTGACTTTTGAAAAGAGATGCATAGGAAAGACGCAGTCTCTCTTTTCCCTGCTAGACAGTTTTGTTAGTATGTGATATTTGTAACCATGGCAGCTATTCTTCTAGTTGCCAAGGATTACAGAGTAAAAAGACAGAAAGAACCTGGGTCCTTGATAATATTCTTGAGCCTCTGAAGTAACCACACCTGGAGCTGTCTCTATTTTGTATCATCTCAATATTTGAGTCAAAATACATATTTTTTATTGTTTTACAACTTTGAGTTGATCTTTTTTCTTTCCTTGTTGCTGAAAGCGTTAACTGAGGCATTGACTGAGATAAGCCTTGGCCAGACCTTCTCACAGAGAGCCCTTAAGTGGACACACGTGGAATCCTCTCAGCATCTGCAGTGCAAGAGGCACTATGGACTGAGTGCCCCACTGTGGAACAGAAGAATTTATGGTCCAGGATCCAAAGAGTAGGTCTGGATGATGTGGCTCATTAGGTAGCAGAGTTACTGCCCTATATGGAAGTAAAGTTGTTTTTGTGTACCGACATGTCTGAGGGCTTAAAACATAGTGTGTCCTCAAATGGCAACTAAACTTTTGATGGTGAATACAACGCAGTCTATACAGAAGTTGAAATATAATGTACATCTGAAATTTATATAATCTTATAAACCAATGTCAGCTCAATTAAAAAAAAGTGTGCCCCAGGTTTTGTATTTCTCCAACCTGATGGATATTTTACTCTGTTGGGATACCAAGACCACCAAACTTTGGACATATCTCCATAATATTTAAAGGAAGAAACAAAGAGCCACGTTCACCTATTTGCATCCTTACTTCATGTATATCCTCTGCATTGCTACTCTGCTTATCAGCTGCTTTAGGAGCAAATCAAAGTAAAAGCAATCTTTTTCTGAACTATATGTGAAACATCATTTCACTCATTCACCAGTCTCACCTAGATTGTTGGTCTGGCCTCGCTCACTGCACCTTGAACTTTAGACAGTATTTACTGAACTCTATCCTGTAAAATGAGGAAATCAGCAAACCTACACTTTGCTCTACTTTTTTTGGTTTAGCACTTAATTACTTACTGCCTGTTTATTAAGTTTATTAATTAAGTTTAGCACTTAATTACTTACTGCACTGTTATTGAACTTTTCAGGTATATGTTTTGAATACCCCAAGCTGACCTTAAGTTCTGAAAGTTGCCTGTATCTTTTATTCTTTGTATTCCTCACAGTACCTACTATAGTCCCCCTAAATATGTTTTGTGAAAAATTAAATACAGGGGAACTATTAAGCATTTCTTATCCTTTTGCTATCTAATGATGAATGGCAAGTTATAACAAGAAGTAGTTTATCTTCAACTAATACTTGGAACATATTACTACTCCCTTTCTTTGTTTCTCTTTTCTTCTCTCTTGTCCCTTAATTCCTCTTTGAGTCCTTTATTCTACTCCAGCATTTTAAAAATTATTCATTTCTTTGTTATTCTACCATTAAAAAAATCTTTTTTTCCTATCTCATCTCTCCCTTTCTCCGTCTCTTTCATCATCTTCCTCTTTTTAAGTGGAATGGAAAAACATTTTATATTATTTATTTTATCTATTGAAGTTTATAATAATAGCCAGTACTTATTAAGTGCTACTAAATGCCAGGCACTGTGCTAAGAGCTTTTACATGTATTATCTCATTTAATCCACACATCACCTATGAGGTAATAGAATTATTTAGATTCTTTTTATAGATTAGGAATCACAGGCCTTAAAAGGGTAAATAATTTGATTGTCAACTTACCTAAGTTAAGGTTAGAATGAGGACTTGAAACTAGAGCTAACTCTTACAACCAGTATAACATAGTGCCTCTCCAATATAATTTAGCGCCTTCTTTCTCTTCCTTCCTGAATTAGTAAGGCTCCATGGAATTTCTTTAAATACTTTTTTTTTTAATCCAAAGCAATATACACATACGGTTAAAAAAATACAAAAAGACTAATAACAAGAAGTAACAATCTATAGCCCCAATCCCACTTCCCAGAGAGAATACTTTTAGCCATTTGCTTTTTTGGTTCTTGATGATTATCTCTATATTTGCTGTTCATAAAATCTTAAATATTTATGCCCCTATAGCTACTCATTACCTGTTATGAGAGAGAAGATTTAACTCACCCACACCTCCCAGGACCCCAAACTATCCCTTCCTACATTCTCCTAATATAATAACATCACCAAGCTTCAATCACTCCGACTTCAAATAACATAAATAAATCATTTTCTAGTCCAACATTCATAAACAGTATCTCTCGATGCTCTACTTTATAAATTAAGCTATGCTCCTCTTTATTAACTTAATAATTGTATGATGTTCATCCTAAATATTTGTTATCTCAAATAACAAAACTAAATTGCTTTTAAATTGTAGGTCTCAAAGTACTTTGTTATGAGTCAGCAGTCTTTAATTGAATGAAAGTGTCCCTTATTCTTCTCCTAGCAGACCAAGGATGGTTTTCCGAGCCTTTCATAAAGGTTCTGGAAGTGGACTTGACCTTTATTGTAGCAATTGGGCTGTCTTATTATAAAGAGAGTTAGCACATACCTTTAAAAAGTATCACCTGCTAAACAAGAGTACTCACCTGCTGTTGTCCCTGTAATCGCTGTTGAAGTTGAAGTCGAAGTTGGTTGGGTGCAGCTGGAGGTCTGTTTAGAGTCTGCCTGGGCTGCATGCCCATACCAGGTGAAAAAGCACCTCGGGGAGGTGTTACTGGAACAGGCATAGTTCCCAAAGAAGGTTTTTGCCTGACTATGCCTTGGAAAGGGCTAGAGAGATTGGCAGTAGGTGAAGGAGAAGAATAAGGCTGGGAGTAAAGGTTGGGTCTTTCTTCCATCATCAAAGGTGGTGTTGCTTGTTGTGGTGGAAATCTCTCTGATAATACATCTAACCCACCTCCCTGTTGGAAAATAAGTGGAACATTTTACAAATAAATTTCTGCCAATAAATGATGTGCTTCTCTGTTTAATTTTGGATCTGAGAGCATGTTATCTCTACAAAGTTTCATCATGATATATTCATGCTCAATTCATGAAGCGCTCCAGCAGTTTGCTACCTAAAGGAATCATTTACGAAAGTTACTTTTGAAATGGAGTAATAGATTAACCGAGATGTTTAAAATCTCTCTGAAGAGATGAAAACATGGTTAAAATAAAGGCCTTAAATAAAATAAAGGCCTGAAATAAAGCTAAAAAAACTGAAAAGAATCTCATTGCAAAGCCTAAGAAAAAACAAACCGTACATTTAATAGGTTACCAAGAGAAGTCGATTCCTAAAGGAGGGATTAATTAGGATTTCTTCTATCTCAAATACAGAATTCACGCTTTTATCTTATTCAAAAAAAAAAAATCCATAGCTGACCTAATAGAATGCCATAGAGTTAAGGCTTTCAAACTTTTGACTATTACTCATTGTAAGAACTATAATTTAAATTGTGACCCCTTGTGTGCGTGAGTGTGCGTGTGTAACTGAAAGGAAAGTTTCATAAAACATAACTTTTCCTTTTTGTGGGCTATGCATTCTGATACTTTGTATTCTACACTATTCTACTCCACTAAAAAAATGCTGGTCATGATGCACTAAATTGAATTTTTAACCCCACAGTATGAAAACTACAACCCTGGAAGTTGGAATGTCATGGAATATACAGGTTGAAGTCTAGCATAGATGAATGATAAATTAAGTCCTAAAATAAAAAGTGATGATAGAAATCTGGATTCTATTCTAGAGGGAGCTTCAAAGATTCTGTTACATACTGAAAGGCTAAGACTTTCTAATTCTAATTATTTCTAATTCTAATTAATATGATTTTCTTTAAAACACCCATTATTTATCATATATTTTGATAACTTTTACAAGGGTAAATTATAAAACAGCTAAAACACAGGGAGAACAATATTGAAAAATCTTGCTTAAAAATCATTTTCTGTGCCAGCTCTGGTGGTCTAGTGGTTAAAATTTGGTGCTCTCACAGCCACGGCCCAGGTTTGTTTCCTGGTCGTGCAAACACACCACCCGTTTGTCAGCTGTCAGTTGGTGGCAGCGGCTCACATAGAGATACACAACCATACACTGAACCTTTAAAAAAAAAAAAATTTTCTAGTTCCTCAGGGCTGCATCATTTATATAATGGCAACTTTAATACATACCTGAACAAGTTTGTCAATTCCCAGAGCTCTGTCTAGTTCAGCTAGCTCAGTTTCATCTTTGCCACTGAGGAAGGATACCAGCTGTTCCAGAAGAGCCTTCTCATCATTTCTTCCTTCTACTGTTGTTGGTGGACAGAGAAGCTCATCTAATTGTGAACTAATACACTGGCTGCAGAATCAAAATATAAGAAAGTTTAAGACTGATATAGCAAATAAGTATTCAATCTTAAGAACACAAATATATACACACACACACACACACACACATATATGCAAATCTAGTTCTAGAAAATTCTCTGTTGGATGCTTTTTCAACCAATTCTTATGCAATGAAATGTTCTATACTTAATGTGCAGAAATTTATGAACGTTCGGTATGTAGCTTGAATATATTTCTCATTATTTTGTCAATGACTGAACTTTGTTTCCATATTCTTCATATAACTTACAGAAATAGCCTGAAAAATTAACCAAACATAGTTAATAAAGGGAAAAGAATTTTTAACAAAAGTAAAAATCAACCAAAAACTCAGAGAAAAAGTCATTTAGCCTATGTTAAGATTTATTCTACTTATTTATTCTATGAATGACGTTAATTATTGATAATTGAACCATAATCAAAATAGTACATATTATATTACATAACTTTCAAAGATGATTATATTATATTGATAACATGATATGATTACCATTTACAAAAGAAATCAAACTAGAAAAATGAAACATGCTCAGTATTAAGGAACAAAACAAATTGTTAATTACATGTAGGAAATATGTAGTCTAATCCAAACTGATATCAACTGATGAATAAAACTTAGAAATATACAGAAAATAACAGTAATACTAACAATACTGATATAATTATAAGGATTCTTCTTTTGGGAAGGGAAAGGGGAATACAGTTCATAGTTAAGGCTCTAAACCACACTCAATACTATCTAGTTATCCTTTAGTTGCTATGTATGAGATGTACTCTATGTTTTGGCATGGGGCTACCTATGTGGACTAAGAAATTAAATTCAAGATGGGACACCGAGTAGATATAGTGAGTACTTTCCCTTCTTATACCCTCTTGCTCCAAACAAATAAAAAAGCTGGACAAAATAATTATATAACTAAAAGATGAAGAGCAACATAATTGCTGTACTGAGGCCAATTCATTCACAGGTCCCAGAAATTTTATGGTAATCAATCAAAGCAAAGTAAGAGATGAAAAATAAAACAACAGCTGCACACTATATCAATCTCTTGGTAATTATAACGTGCATTAGCCTTGTAGTCATGCAGTAAATACATCTGTTTAACTTAGTGCGCTCCCCCATCCCTTTTTTTTTCATTAAACATTCACTTCTATTTAATATCTCACAAAATACCAAAGTAGACTAGAATCCAATTTGGGAAAAGTAGTTCTTTGTTGCAGAAGCTGGTATCTGATATTTTATAAAAAACAAAATGTATTACTCACTCTTCTGGTTTATTTTGATTTACAGCTGTCACTGTATTATTTGTCCATGGAATCTGATCACCTGTTCCTGGTTGTCCAAACTGGTTATCAATTGCTTCCAATTCCAACTCAGGTAATCCTGATTAAAGAGGAAAAGGTAAGAAATCAGTATCACAATGGAATATAAAGTGACAGTATTTTTCAGAAGTAATATATCATATAGTAGAGTAAGATTTCCCCTATAAAATATGACCTCAATAATACAAAGGTCATTTATTCAGAAACTTAAACTATCTAGAATGTGGCCACATAATTACAAGTAAATGAGAAAGTGAGAAAAGGTCTTTGAATCAAAGAAAATCTGATGTTAAAAAGTTTGCACAAGGGCTGGCCTGGTGGTGTAGTGATTAAGTCCATGTGCTCCACTTCAGCGGCCTGGGGTTTGTGGGTTCAGATCCTGAGTGCAGACCTCTGCACTGCTCATCAAGCCATGCTGTGGCAGGCGTTCCACATATAAAGTAGAGGAAGGTGGGCACAGATGTTAGCCCAGGGCCGATCTTCCTCAGCAAAAAGAGGAGGATTGGCAACAGATGTTAGCTCAGCAGATGTTTCCTCAACAACAACAAAAAAAGTTTGCACCTAAGTTGATGTTACCATAGGAGAATCACTCAGGACTTTGTCAGAAATTATTTATTTTAAAGATAACTATAACAATTTTGGTTAACTGCTTTTTCAGTCTACAGCACTTTAGAATATGCTATAAGTAGGGACGGTGTTATTATCATGAAATGAGAGCTGCAAACAAAAGATAAAATATGTTCTATAAAAGGCAGGAACAAAAACTAAAGGGTATAGCAGTCCAGGGCCATTTGGTGAATGGACAAAGCTCTACAGCTGTTAACTGAGAATACAGCTGTATAATAACAGTAAAATAATTAATGCTTATAATAATGACAAATGGAAAAAGAGGTTGAATTATGTTTTGAAATGGAAGAAAATAACACATGCATTTTATTTATTTTTGTGTGTGTGTGTGAGGAAGACTAGCCCTGAGCTAACATCCAATGCCAATCCTCCTCTTTTTGCAGAGGAAGATCGGCCCTGGGCTAACATCCGTGCCCATCTTCCTCTACTTTATATGGGACACCGCCACAGCATGGCTTGATGAGCGGTGCGTTGGTGCACGCCTGGGATCCGAACCAGCGAACCCTCGGGCCAAAGAAGCAGAGCGCGTGCACTTAACTGCTGCGCCACCGGGCCGGCCCCTAACATATGCACTTTAGAAAGTTTTTGTGTGGGAATTTTTTTTTTTAAAGCTTTGATTATTTCTGTACTATTTATACTAAGAAAAAAATTGCAAATAACCTAAATTCCAGAAATTTAGGGACTAAATGAATTAGTTATGAATGAATGAATGATGGTATAGATATTTATAAGGTGCTATCAAATGAAAAAGAAAAAAAGCATAATCTGAGACATTATGTTCAGGATGACTCTTTTTATAAACTATTTCATATATATTAATAGAAAAAAATTATGATAGGTTATACATCCTTGGTAGATTTTAGGTTTTGAGCTTAAGAATTACTTTTATTGGGCCGGCCCCACGGCTTAGTGGTTAAGTGTGCGCGCTCTGCTGCTGGCGGCCCAGGTTCGGATCCCGGGCACGCACCGACGCACCGCTTCTCCGGCCATGCTGAGGCTGCATCCCACATACAGCAACTAGAAGGATGTGCAACTATGACATACAACTATCTACTGGGGCTTTGGGGGAAAAATAAATAAATAAAATTATAACAAAAAAAAAAACAACAAAAAAAAAGAATTACTTTTATTTTCTTTTAAGGTTGTTAATGGTTATTGGAAATTTCTAAAATGAACAGATATTAATTAATCGTTGTTATGGGCTTAACTGTATTCCCTCATATTTCATCCACCTCTCAACCCCTCCCCTCTCTGGTAACCACCAGTTTGTTTCCTGTATCTATGAATCTATTTCTGCTTTATTTACATCTGATAAGGGGTTAATATCCAAAATATATAAAGAACTTACATAATTTAATATCCAAAAAAAAAAAAAAGACCAACCTGATTAAAAAATGGGCAGAGAACTTAAATAGACATTTTTCCAAAAATAACATATAGATGGCCAACAGGCATATGAAAAATGCTCAAGATCATTAATCATCAGAGAAGTGCAAATCAAAATCACAATGAGATATCACCTCACACCTGTCAGAATGGCTGTTATCAAAAAGACAAAAAATAACAAGTGTCAGAAAGGATGTGGAGAAAGAGAACTCGCATACACCGTTGATGGGAATGTACATTGGTGCAGCCAATGTACATTGGAAAAGAGTGGAAAAGAGTATGGAGGTTCCTCAAAAAAATTAAAAATTGGGGCCGGCCCCGTGGCTTGGTGGTTAAGTGCGCGCGCTCCGATGCTGGTGGCCCGGGTTCGGATCCCGGGCGCGCACCGAGGTACCACTTCTCCGTCCATCCTGAGGCCGAGTCCCACATACAGCAACTAGAAGGATGTGCAGCTATGACATACAACTATCTACTGGGGCTTTGGGGGGAAAAAATAAATAAATAAAATCTTTAAAAAAAAAAAATTAAAAATTGAACTACCATATGATCCAGCAATTCCCCTCCTGGGTATTTATCCAAAGAAAACAAAAATACTAATTCGAAGAAATATATGCACCCCTACCTTCACTGCAGCATTATTTACAATAATCAAGATATGGAAGCAACCTAAGTGTTGACAGATGAATGGATAAAGAAAATGTGGTACAGTCATGTGGTGCTTGACAACAGGGATATGTTCTGAGAAATGCAGCGCTAGGTGATTTCATCATTGTTTGAACATCATAGAGTGTCCTTACACAATCCTAGATGGTATAGCCTACTACACACCATTATAATCTTATACGGCCACCATCATATATATAGTCCATCGTTGACCAAAATATCATTATGTGGCATGTAACTGTATATATATACAATGGAATATTACTCAGCCATAAAAAGAGTGAAATCTTGTCATTTTCGACAACATGGATGGACCTAGAGGGTATTAAGCTAAGTGAAATAAGTCAGACAAAGATAAATACCATATGATTTCACTTATATATGGAAGCTAAAAAACAAAACAAAAATAACCAGAACAAATTTACTTCTAAATGCAAATAATTATAGCTTTCAATTAAACTTGTCATATCATGACAAATGATAGAGAAATCAAATTCTGCAGGATTCTGAAAAATGAAGCAAACAAAAACTACCAAACAACAACAATAATAAATGGTGATGGGAAAGTAATCACTTAATTCCTGTCATTATCTAAATCAGGAAGTTATTCAAAGTAGATTATCTAAAGCTGTCCCATTGCTCTGCTCCATACATTAATTCCTCAATCCTGTTCTGTTTCATAAATCTAACTGAGACAAATTGTATTTAAGAGTCAAAGAAAATTTACATGGCTGTCTACCATCAATACTGAGTATTGTAAGATAGTTTATTTGACTCAATAACAGGACATAGTATCTCATTTTACTAGTCTTGATGGGAAAAAATGTTAAGAAAATAAGTTGGATAAAATATTTTCAAAATAAAATAAGATTCATGTGCTAACTTTGGTGACTAGAAAAAACAAATAAACAAACAAATCAAACTTTGATTCAATTAAAAGTTTTGTTTGGGGGCTGGCCCGGTGGCGCAAGCTGTTAAGTGCGCATGCTCCACTTCGTGGCCCAGGGTTCGCAGGTTCGGATCGCAGGCACGCACCAACACACTGCTTGTGAAGCCATGCTGTGGCGGCATCCCATATAAAGTAGAGGAAAATGGGCACAGATGTTAGCTCAGGGTCAATCTTCCTCAAGAAAAAAGGAGAGGCATCAGATGTTAGCTCAGGGCTAGTCCTCCTCACAAAAAAAAAAAAGTTTTGTTTGCATAGCCTGTATGCTTAAAAGAAATTGGTTTTTATTCTAAGAGTCATTTCAACTTTTTAGGACTTCCTTTAGAAACAGACTTATATAAAAAATTCGAGGATTTGCTGGAATGTTGTAAGAAATATACAAGTTATCTCTCTTTGTTCAGGAAATAAACCTCCTATTTTTTGTCATGCTTGTGTTCCTATCACAAATGTGAGTAAGTATGCATATATGTAACACAAGACAGGCACAGTAATTTTTAAAGGGAAGCATCAATGCACCTATCAGTCCCTGTGTTGGAGAGAGGCAGCTCAAGTAGGGGGAGAAAATAAGCCCTTGGAGATCCCTGATCAAGCTATTAATGTTTTTTATCATCTTTGCAAAGGGCCCAACATCATATTTTCTCCATTTAAAATCTGGTTAAAAAAAATACTTTATATCCCCATTAGCCACACTGATCCCAACAAAAAATATATATATTATTAAAAAATTTAAAAATTACCGCATGCAAAGTAGAAAGCATTGCCTAACCATGAGAGTGGCTTTTGTACATTCTACTCCTCTAACAGTTGATTCAGTATCTAGTGATTCTGATGTTCACAGTTAATTTTCTTCAGCTGTTGGTAAAGAGGTTTCTGGTTCAGTTTTGTGTTACATTTGGCTGTAACTATGCACAGCAGTTTCAGTGTTTTATTTTTCTAAATATGATGTAGACAAACAACCAGTTTCTCTAATATATAAAAAAACTCCCATAAATCAATAAGATAAAAACTGAATAACCCAATAGATAAATGGTCAGAGAATATCAACGGGTCACATAAAATCACTGAAAAATGATCAACCTAATTCACAATAAAAGAAATACAGATTAAACTACATCGAGATACTTGAAAAAATGAAATCATCCAAGTGGCAAAGATGAGAAGGTGCATAATTCAACGTATTGGAAATGATGTGCAGAAAGGGGAATATTATCAGTTAGTCTGTAAACTGGTATAATATCTAAGAAGGGCCATTTGGCACAATCTATCTACCTTTTGACCCAGCAATTCTATTCAGAACTTACATTTCAGATATACTCTCATATGTGGTAAATTATCTCTACATAAGATTATTCACTACAGCTTTGTAATAGCAAAAGATGCCTACCAACAGGCACAACACACTAAACGCAACCTCAAAAACAGAGAAATTAAAATGGACT